TTTACATACACATTCGATTTACATACATGCCAGTGCACGTACAAAGCCGAAAGCAAACCGAGACACATGTGCCATTTTTTGCATGTGGTCACTGGCCAGTCGACATATACGTATGGCAGCTAGGTAGGTAGGCCTGTATATACATGGTGCATTGCCACTGTGATGAGATGAGATCGACGCGGCAGTGAAGAACAAGACATTCATGGCTCTCACGACGCCGCGGTAAAAACGGTGCGTCACCATCGGTGCCACTATTTGCCTTTCGTTCACGCCTTTTAGTGAAAGCAAGTGAATAGGCCAATGCAATTTTTTATGAAAGGGACTCCTCCCTGTGATATGGTGTAATCGACACCAGGGACGTAGTATTCCTCCTCTAAGCTTGTAGAAGTCGAGAAGTCGAGGGTGACAAGGATTTGACCCGATGACCTGGGGCCTCAGTACTAACACGTCCGGCCCTGTCTTTTCCACGCAGAGGACAAAAGTGAAGTCCGACAGATGTGGGATCACTCGTTGGCAAGGCCTGTGCGTGACCTCAGGGTCGGCCGGGAGGTCGGAGTGGTGGCTTCGGGAGGCAAAAATGATAAATTTGACCTGTAGATAAAAAGAATTCACAAAATAAACTGTTTTTGAAATTTTTTCACTCCGCTGACCCTTTTGTATAGCGTCCGACAGCAAGACGTCACATTACACAGTGCAGCGCCTGACTGACGGGTGCTATACACCTAGCCAACGTCGAACCTTAAACTGCCTGAAAATTCTAAGTTAATGTGCAACGCCTAAGGATTCAAACAAGCACACGACGCTCAAGCATGCAGTACGTTGCTGTAGGCCCTACGAGGCTGTGGCCACGCATGCACGCACACGGCATGCATGCACGTGGTTTGGTGATCCGTCGGTTTTTTTTTGGTGATCCGTCGGTTGCGTGTAGTGCGATCGGTACAAGGTTTTGCTTTGTCCCTTGTATAGCTGTTAGTGCAGCGCCTAGACGCTAGGCGCTACACTGTATAGTGTAGCGTCTAACTTTTAGGCGTTGCAAGCTGACTTAGAAATTTTTAGGCATTTCGAGGTGTGACATAGGCTAAGCGTGTAGCGCCTGTCAGTCAGGCGCTGCACAGTGTAGTGTGGCGCCTGGCTGTCGGGCGCTACACGAAAGGGTCAGCGGAGTGAATTTTTTTAACAACAGTTTACTTTGTGAATTCTTTTCGTCTACAGGTCAAATTTGTAGTTTTTGCCGCTTCGGGATTCGTCTTCATGATGAAGGGCTTCGGTTTTGGTTGCTTGGGCAGCAAAGTCGTCGACAAGTCTGGTCCTCGGCCTCAGGGCCGGTGCGTGTGGGGTTGAGGTAGGGCTGGAATTTTGAGCCGAGTCGAGCCAGCTCAGCTCGACTCGCTAGAGCTCGTTTCGTTAACGAGCTAGCTCGACTCGACTCGTTATTATAACGAGCTCAAATCCAAGATTGGTTCGACTCGTATAACTCGCGAGCTGACTCGTTTAGCTTGTTAAGCTCGTTAAAGATATGAACATAAAACCGTCAAATATTATAAAAATGATTATGTATATATTGAACATATATATCACTAACAATAGTAATTTCCTTGTAACGCATGAGTCTCCTAGGCGGTTGGGCCTTCAATGGCTAGGCCTTGAGTTGTGCGCCTAGAACATAGGGTGCTGAGTGGCTGATCTTTTGTACCGAGCCTAACGAGTTACACGAGTACTCGTGAGATCGGCTCGTTTAACTCGGTCTATAAACGATCTTAAACTAAAGCTTAGCTCGATTCATTATTCGAGCCGAGTCACGAGCTACTCGTTTAGCTCACGAGCTTTGAGCTTTTTTTCCAGCCCTAGGTTGAGGTTTTGTATGTCAGAGCGGTTGGCTCATTGG